AAATAATAATAATAGATATCAAGGACAAAAATGTCTTCCCAATCTCCAATTCAACACTGAATTACAATTCATAGGGGGGAGTCCGGAATTGTAATTCAGCATTTGGAGGGAATTGCAAGTCGGCGGAATTGCAATTCCCTCCAACCAAACGGCGTAATTGTAGTCTCCGCGAAATTGCAATTCAACTACACTTAAACTACCTCCAACCAAACAGCCCGTTAGTGTACGCCAGAATGCAATCAAGAGATGAGAAATGTGGGAGCTAGCGGAGTGAAAGAATTTGTTTCCAATTAAGAAGTGTCGATTAGATGGGTCAGGGGTAGGAGCCTCAGGATACACTATACATATAGTATGGTAAATTTATTATTAGTATAAAGTTACATCTATAAATACTATTTTTCTTCTCACCAAAACATAAGGGACTACCCAACTATATTGAATAGAAGCTGGAGGATGCTTGATCAACTCATACCTCGATAAATGATGTAAAACAATACAGTATTCCGAAAGTAGTTAATCATTTCTCCTATATACTATTTATATATATTTTTTAAATGCTTTATTTATAGATTGCTTCTTGGACATAAACTTTATCATATATCCACTTGCATTTTAAGTATGTAAGACCCACACATATAATGCGACAACATTATGAGCAGTGCGTGGGTTTCCCATCTTCTTAAGTTATGAAATGTATTTTTGCCAAGCTACAATAATTAATAATATTCACCAATGTATTGATTTAGTGGATAAGAAACATTATATTCCTTAAGATTTGCTCTCATCAAGTAGAATCAATGAAAATTGAAAATGTTCGCATGAGCAGCTCAGCTGGTCATTGAGGTGAAGTTTGAAAAGAATGAATATTGAAAATTTGGGTTTGAAAATGGTTCTTTGAATTGTGCGCAGAACGGTATAGTTTGATGTTGACTTTTAAAGCTACATTGATTCAAATTACCTCATTATGAGAATATAGTTCGATGAAATTGGAAAATTTAAGTTATTTAAAATAATAATCATAATAATAATTTATGTTGAAATAATCTTCATGTGTAAAATAGATTTGTAGCTTGGAAGCAATGGAAATGGAATTAATAATTAATATTGAAATCTTCATGCAAAACTTATTTGTAGCTTAGAAGCAATGCAAATGGAATTAATTGATTAGATGCAACCATCCTTAATTCTTACATCTCTTAGGGATAAGAATAAGTAATCAGCAAGAAAATGAATGGAGGCAGAAAATTTAAGAGCTAGCTAGCTATAGGCAGGCAACCAATTGCTTTAATTTGATTTTTATACACGTTTTCAAATAACATCAAATGATCCATCAAATGAATTTTATTTTATTGAAGGTGACTACATCAATTCTTGTAAACACTCTTTTGATCGAGCTCATCACATAGGGTATCTATTTCTAATATGATTTATCTCTCATGTGATTTTGTGAGCAATTATAAGAAGTAATATTTACTCAGTGCACACTTTCAAGTATGTAGTGACTATGTATTTCCCTTGTCGCCCAACAAAAAATAAATAAATAAAATTTCATAACACATCTTTCCCTTAGTCACTATACCCAAGGGTATGCATTGAGTACACTAATCCACACAAGAAAAGTAAACTGCACTAAAAAAAAAAAATCTAGGAGACAGGCTCGACCAAGAAGGTGCTGACAAAAATCAACGTTTAGATATGAGAATCATACTCCAACTACTTGGCCACTACATATTTTAAAATTCTTTTTATTCATTAGTTAATCTCACACTGAGTTTAAAAATAAAAGGCAATAAAAAGAATTTTAAAATTATTAAAGTTAATTTTTATTCTTAGTTAATTTTCTTAAAGTTAATCAATTTTCTAATCGTCAGGTGATTTTAAGAAAGTGAATCATCAAATCAAGAATGTTACTAGATAATTTTTACAAAAAATTATTGAAATTGAAATATTGTAATTATCAACTAACGCTTGCCTAACTCAATTAGGTTTAATTTGCCCAAAAGTAACGTTTACTTGTTGAAACATTTATGGATAAGCAATTATGGCGGCCAATTTGCATGAGTGGCGATGCAACAATTGTTCACCTTGACTTTTTAGGCATTTGATTCTTTTCGGTGTAAAGGAAGTATAAAAAATATATATAATGCATAGATTTTTATTTTTTGTCGAAAAGTAAATATATTAAACTTACAATTATTAAAACGTATAAGTAAAAACATCATCTAATTTTGACTGCTACATTTACAAGTAAGATAATTAAAGTGACCCAAAATTAAATTCTTAATTAAACCAAGAAAGTGACTGTCGGCGATGTACTGTTCTCACCGAGCGGTGCTTTTTCCGCGATCTTAAGCGGTTCGCTCCCAAATTGTTTCTCCCCTTTCATGGTCAAGTCTCTAACTTACAAAGAGGTACTTTCTTGGTTCAATGATTGTGATATTTCGTTTGTAGAGCTCCTCACTGATTGTTCCAATCACCAACACTATTTATCTTGTGATCATATTGATCTCTATCTTATGTTGATTTTACTATTGATGCTTGTCGGTCTATTATATCGTCGTTTAGGCATTGTTTTGTTAGCTTAGTCCCTAGGACTGTTAATTGAGGCGCTCATACCCTCACTTCTACAACTTTTTCTCAGGCTAACACTTTGTACTCGGACTCTGTCCCTCCTAACTCTATTTCTGGTTTGCTATAATATTTCTACGATTTGGTTGGCTTTCAAAAAAAATTATTAATTTAAACTATTAAATTTAAATATCAATTAAGCATTTTAGTAACTAATTCTTTATAACTTCAATGGTTCGTTTCAAGTGTGAATCTGTGAATCTCAATGTACCATTGAGATGCAAATTTAGACGGTCAAGATCTGAAGAGTGGTGTAGTAGTGCATGATGCAATGATGTGATGCATTTGTGCAGTGTTGTATACATATATACCTAGACGGAGAGGGATGCCACATCCCCGTTGAAGAGTTAATTAGGAAAAAAAAACTATCATTCCTATTTTACCCCAATAGCTGTAATGCTCGTTTTGGTAATTATGCGAGCTGGACTTTGGCACAATCGTCTCTTTACACTGCAAGCTTTTATAACGATACTGGTCGGAGTTTAGTGGCAAATTATGCTGTGCATCCGGATGCACCATGCATGGTGCATACGGATGCAAAAACGACGTCGTTTTAATAAAACGCGCGTCTCTTCTTAAAAAAAAAAAATCAGGTTCGATTCCCAGCAACAACATATGAACTAAAATTCTATAATCGATGAACTATAATTCCATAATCGATGAACTATAATTCCATAATCTAATCTATGAACTAAAAATTTCAGAATGAATGAACTAAAATTTCATAATCTATAAACTAAAATTTCAGAATCGATGAACTACAATTCCATAATCGATGAACTATAATTCCATAATCTATGAATTAAAATTTCAGAATGAATGAACAATATAATGATGTTGCTAGGAATCGAACCTGATTTTTTTTTAAAGGGGAGACGCGCGTCTTTTAATAAAACGACGTCGTTTTGGCATCCGTATGCACCATGTATGGTGCATACGGATGCACAGCATAACGATTAGAGTTTAGTGCCCGCAGGAGCTATGGGCCCAATTCACCCATTTGTATGGGTATGGGCTTCATTTGGATACCATATAATCAACCAAAAGCCCAATAGTGACCAAAACAATTACTTATATTATCAACCATAATTCATGCCCAATAGTGACCAAAACAATTACTTATATTATCAACCATAATTCATATTAGTAGTTGCATCCGTGCGATGCACGGTCATATGTATATTTTATGTAATATACAGTATTTACTAAAGCTTAAGAAATGTTTAAATTAAAAATCCTCACAAAATTGAAAATTGATTAAACATTGTTGAAGACTTCTTTGTACACAACATTTGTTGTCTTACTAAGACATGTTACATCTTCTCCGCAAATCAATACTTTTAAACCCGTAGGGTTATTGATTCTTGAAACAGCTACGTACATTTGACCATGGTTAAAGACTGGTCTTTTTAAAAACAGTCCCACTCTTGAGACCGTTTGTCCTTTGACTTTTATTTATTGTCATGGCATAGGATAGCATCAAAGGAAATTGCTTTCGTTGGAATTTGAAAGGCAATCTTGGATCTGACGGTGTTAGTGACATTCTTGGAATCAAAACTACCGCCCATTATTTTTGCTTCCAACACGTGATCAGCTAACCTTGTTACTATCAATCTTGTACCATTGCATAAGCCAAGAGTGTGATCAATATTTCTCAAGAGCATAACGAGTGACCCAATTTTCAAAGTCAATGCATGATTAGGTACACCAGAACATCGCAGACCATTCAAGAATTCTGGAGTGTGCAAATCCGCTGACATATCTGCATTAGAATCTGACTTGCAAACTGAATCACAACTCAAAAAAGTCCTACCCTCACATGGATTTTGATCATTCATGTATTGATTAATGATATTAAGTTTCACAGCTAAAATGGAGATATTAATCAACCAAAAGCCCAATAGTGACCAAAACAATTACTTATATTATCAACCATAATTCATATTGCAAGATAAATTATTGATATACATGTTCATTTTAATCTATTGCAAATTTATTTTTATTGTATTATTATATGTTTATTTTTAGACTTTTAGTAGGTTATTATATTTTGATATATGTTTATTTTTAGTGTATTATTTAAAAATTAACTTGTAGTATACTAAAAATGAACTTACAGTATACTAAAAATAAACACGCTTTGCTCTCAAGGATAGTTCAATTGTTTCTCAGGTGAAAGATTGTACCCAATGATGCAAGATCGAATCCTTATAGTTGCGATGTGAGTTTCACCCTCTTGTGAGAGCAACTCCTTGTGGGCACCAAATAGTGGTCCTCCCACCTAAAAGCCGTTAAGTTACCATGAACATTGAATAAATAAAATTCTTAGACTAAATAATGCAATTATATATATATAAAAGTTTTATTAAAAACTCCACTTTCACTTATTTGTTATTCTGAAACATGGAAGCAAAATTACACGCTAATATATGACCATTTCAAACCAAAAAGTCAAACTTAAAATATTGTGATTATCAAGCCAATCATTTAATCAACTTAGTTATGATTGTTTCATTGTCACCCAATTTAGACCAAAATTTATAAAAACAAATAAAAAAAAAACAAAACAAAACAAAACAAGAAATATTGTATTTTTAATTTAAATATTATTACTATAATTATTAATTAATTAATTAAGCAGCATCTGCAATGACGTTCTGAATGAGGTCAGCAGCATCTTGTACAGTTGCAACGTTCTCTGCACCACCTTCTCCAATCGACACTCCAAACCTCTCCTCCAGAGCCATCATTATTTCAACCTGTAGCAGTAACAATTTATAAGATAAATGGAATCCGTCTTTTCATCTCAGTCGATAAAAGATCATAAAGAGATAAACTAATTTAGATTGTCAATAGCAATTCAAACTGAGAAAGTCAATAAACAGCTCAGGCAAAAAGTTGAACAGTATCGTGTTTATTTTAATACCATTTCAGACAAAAAGGTAGAATTGTTCACCGTAAGCGTTCTCACACCCCAGTCTGACAGGATGATGAAGGAATAAATTATGGTGACTCACGTTATTAACATAGGCTAGACTTTTGTTTACTGTACAGAAGGAACCTCAGTCACTTGAGAGGTTGCTCTAATACTGACACGGATAAGACTCGATCAGCCATTGATCTTTTATGACAAATTACACCTCTATAACTAATTTAACTTCCCATACGAACAAGCAAGGTTTATCCACATACACACATCGAGTGAATTTCTTCATCACCCCAAAAAAAAAAAAAAACATTAAACTTACAGTGTCCAATGAATCAGCACCAAGATCAGCAAACTTGGTTTGGGGGGTGACAGTGGTCTCATCAATTGACAGCTGCTTCGCAATTGTGCTTCGGACAGTCTCCAGAGTTTCAGCTTCAGCCTGCAAACACCACATTATACATAAACTTATCTTAACGTCAGAGCTCACAAATTAAACAATCATTAATCCATTTTCTTTAAAATCAAAAAATTAAGGTTGTTGTCATCATACAACAATCGAGCATGAAATAGCAGTTTTAAAGATCTGCTGGGATGATCTCCTTCTTGCTGCGTTTGAGATTCTGATGGTGGGCACAGCTATTCTTGATCCCCACTGCCCAGAAATTATAAGAAATTTTGAAAAAAATGAGTTTTACCAATTCAAAATAAATTAAAACTGAGAGAACCCTAACTAAGTTGTTCAAACTGATAGACTTGATAACCACGAGACTACATATTCGAATCTCAAAGAGAGTGGGCTTAATGACTTTCTTAGTTTGAGTCAATTAGTTATCAACAATATAACTTAGAGCATCCTCATTAGTCTGAATTTTTTGTTAATTTTTTTAGATACATATAGGAGAGAGAATGAAAGAGGAAAAAAAAAACAGGAACTGACAAAAAAAAAACATCAATATAATGTGCTTTGTTTCTTTCTCGTATCCGGTGGACCCCACAAAGATTTTAGTTTTGCAGGAGAAAAATTTACCAAAAAACTTCATCTCCTTTTTGTGCAAAAACAACATAGTTGATTTTTTCTTCATAAAAAATCGAGCAAAAATTTCCATTGAGGTTGCTCTTATGTTAATTTTCTTTCTTGTGGTCTTTTACCGACTAAAATTATTACAAGACGGGACTTACTCAATGCACACCCCTGGGGGTGACAGTGAGTTTTCTTGCCACACGAAAATAGACAAAGAAAAAAGAGAAAAGAAATTAAAATTTATATATCTTACTAGGGAGGAGAGATTGATTTGGGTGATGGAGCATTGGGGTTTATTAGGAGCAGTGAAAGAGAGTGTAGCAGCAGAAGGAGCGGTTGAGGTTGAAATGAAGGAAGCCATTGTTAACTTTTGACAAGAAAAAGGAATTTATGTACAATGAAGGTTTGGAGATTTTGATGATTGGTGTTGTTGTTGCATGCATATATATATATATATGTGTGTGTGTGTGGGTGGTGGAGGGGTTGGGGGGGGGGGGGTGATGGTGACACCAGAACACCAGCAGAGACGATCTTAACAAAGGAATTTGGCAGTTTGGCCAATGCCGTGGCGGAGCATACCATGTTGGCCTTGTAAAACACCCTTACCTCAAATACATACATACAACTTAAGTCTCGTTTCTAGTGACATTATGGGAGTTCGAAATCTACAAAGAAATCAGACAATTCAAATACATTTTTTTTTTTGAAAAAATGACTATTGGAGTCTTGTTAATTTCAATCCACGACTTAAAAAGCTAACAATTCAGTATTCTAACTATTCAATTTTGGTTCACCGACTAAATTGTCGCCAGAATCTTTTAGTAGTCAAATGGATCCAAGACCGAGCCGACCTCTGAGGGCCAATCTAAGCTTACGTTGAGGATGCTGTCAAATTGTTGAATAGAGACTGGAGGATTTTGATCCGTGCAATTTATCGTGAACAAAACAAAGTGGCTGATGCTCTTGCTACTTGGGAACCCGACCACCAGCAGAATAATTGGATTGAGATGGATACTTAATTGCCCGCCGAGTAGGGAGGATGCTATCCTTAATGATATAGTGCGAGTCACTAGTGCCTGTAGAGTGAGGGATAGTGCTTAGTTTTGTAACTTTTCTCACGATTCTCCTCTAATCTTCTTCGAAAAAATAATCATTTATACACAGTGACGGATTTACCGTGGGGGAAGTAGGAGCCACTGCCCCCACTAAAATTTGTAATTTTTTTAAACTTAGTGTTGTAATTAATATATTTGTTTTCGTTTTTCACATAAAATTATAATCCTATTATGTGTCACTATTTTTTACCCTTTAATTGTATCCATACATTTCAAAGAATCACAACTTCACACATAATAATATTTTATTGATCCTCCATTTCTTCCTGTTTACTTTTCTTGACAAATAATGTCTATCTTTTAATTAATTTTGATCTCTTTTTATGTCTCTCATGTTAATAATTTTTCTTAATCGAAATAATTATTGATGAATGGTGGGCTACATGGATTTGAGATAATGAGAATAAGAGATTGATAAATGAGATGCACATTTCAATGTCAAAATCATAAAGCATATATAGTCACAAACTTTATACATTCTGTTAAATTTGTAAAATTAATTTGTAAGATGTATTTATAATTGATTGATAGTTGAACTGCTAATTATAAATTATGCATTTGCTAAAATTAAACTATTATTAGTTAGTTTATGATTGATATAAACTTGTGAGACTTATAACGACGATTAATTTAATTTGTAATTGATATCTAAATTTCATGTTTCTACTTAGTGAAGAACGTGTAATAAAAAAAAATTAAAAAAAAATTGATTTGTCATAGGCATTATATTTTGATATTTTGTATTAAAAATATTTGATTTAATTAGTAATATTTCATATTTTGTCATAAATATTTTCTATCGTGTTCTAAATTACTTTAATTTGCCCTTAAAAAAGTTTCTAAATCCGCCATTGCCAAATTGATACTTTCAAAAGCAATTCAGCAACTGAGATTGAGCTAGATTTGAGTTTCCTATTCCCAATAGGATTAGTTTAAACTGAGATTTCTCTCTCTATATATACATAGACCAAAACCTAAGATCTATCTCATTAAGGGTGTGTTTGGTTGGTGAATTTTGCACATAGGAATGGGTATGAAAGTGATTATTGCTGTTTGGTTGATGGATTTTTAGAACACTACTATGGGTTTCGAATACCCCATCAATTGAAAAACTCATACCCAAATACAATAAGGGTTTCATTCTCTTATTTATTCTCAAGCACTACTAATACTAACCATTTCCATTCCACCCTACTACCAAACATGTTAAATACTTTCACCAAAACCCATTATCATTACCAAATATTTGATACCCATTCCGATTCCGATTCATATGTGCGAACCAAACACACCCTAAGTCTAACTCGATCCTCTCTTCCACCATTAAACCATGAAACCGCAAAGTTCTACAATGTTGCCACCCTGCAACTCCGACCACTACGTTATCGTCGAAACTTGGCAGATGACAAGGCCACCGTCGCGATCCAAACCGCCGCGACGGGCCGGATATTTCCCCGTCATATTTACAGTTCTCATTGTACACCCCTCCCCTAGGGTTCCCAACCTCGTACGGTACAAGACCAAGTACGAGTTCTGGCTAAATTGCGACGATTTTTCCGGTCCCGACGGCGCTGCCGCCGCCGTGAACCGATTGGTCGATCTCATGAACGTGCCTTTTCCTCTGCAAGACGTACAGCTCTTCTGGAAGGAACACGCCGGAAACAAATCCGGGATCGAAGAAGTCGCGGACTGGAACTGCGTGGTTGCTCGTCTTTCATGGCTTCTCCGGCAAGTTAACGATTTCGTGCGGCGCAAGCAAGGAGACGACGAGGAATATCCGCTCGTCAAGCTACAGGTTTCCAAGTTCGTGAGGCTGTCGGATGAGGAGCTAGAGACGGCGGCGCGTGGGAGAGTAAACGGCGAGTGGAACATGCGGGCTTTGTGGCGGCCGCAGATGGAGATGGAGTGGCGAATGGCGGTGCTGCAGGCGCAGGCGATCGAGAGGGTAAAGTTGGAAGGTGGCGGCGGCGCGTGCGGGATCTGTTGGGAAGATATGTCGGTTGGGTGGGAGGTTGCTCGGTTGCCTTGTTCTCACTGCAGCCATGAACGCTGCATTCTGAGCTGGTTAGAGATAAACAATTCTTGCCCTTTTTGCCGCTACATAATTGCAGCCATTGAAGGCATAGCAATACCTATCCCAAAAGATTACTCGTTACCCCCACAACCCCCACTCCTACTAATTAAGTAACAACTGTTTGTTCTTCCAAAGGTTGAACCTTAGCCCCAAGGGCTCTACATTCCGACCCGACAGAGCATTTGGGAGGATGTATATCATGGTAACTCAACTGAACATGAATCACAGAGACTAGATCTCTTTGCTCACTGCGCACAAGGAACCCCTCACTTTGAGAGATAGTTCCCTCAAGGAAACTGTTTGTTATTATCTGGTTGTGTTTAGCTTGACACCATTGATGATGATATTATGATAGATATGCATGTAATATATCATTAACATTCTTTATAATATTGGTATATATCCATCTTTAGCCTTTTATGACATTATCTACTGTATGAGAATATGCACTAGGATTGAATAAATCTAATTTACAAATTAATTAGACACACAAAAGAAGTAAGTACAACCGTTTTAACTAAAAAATATTAAGAAAAATCAAATTCGTGACTTTTACATAAATCCTGCAACAATATTGGATATTATCTTATTCGCGCACTCGCACTTTTAGTAGGCACGTGCACGGGCACGTGCCAGCATGGACTATTGGGTTAGTAATCGGTTGGCGAAAAAATTTCATTTTTGTTTAATAGATTCCTAAAATCTGGTATACAATTTTGAGAAATCCATTTTTTTTCATAAACCAACATTGCGTATTTTCAATTAGTATAGAACTTAACGGAGGGTGTGGTTGAGTGGAAGGGATTCATCTATTCTTAACCAAAAATCAAGGGTTCTATCCTTAACTTTGGGAATGGAACAACCTTAAATCTCCAAACCAGTTGTCCTACCCAAAAGAGATGCCTACAATTAAGCGAAGGGTTTGTATCCCAAGCTATTCGATCTTGGGCCAACGATGGCAAGAATTCCTTTTCATAAATGTTTGAGTTCTCAAACAGTCGCCTTGGGCCGAGGACAATGGCCGAAGGATGCTCTTCAGAACTACCCAATAATATCATTTCTTAATTAAGCAGGCAAGAATTCCTTTGCTGAAGAGGATATGTTATCTTTCATAATTGTCCAATAGAACATTTGAGATGATTTAAATCAATGGCTCAACAGACATGAGGATCTGTCCACTTTAAGTATAATCTCTACACTGTTACTGAGGTTCAAACTGTGTCTCTCCTAAATACTCACTACTGAACCAGTAAACCCGTGTGAGCTCAATTACTCCATTGTAGTCTATGTAAGTTTTGTTCAAATACACCAAGAATTACAATGCAATCTACAAATACAGTGTTGGGCCCTAGGGAAGCCCAATATTAGATATATAGACTGCAAGAGGAGCAATCCAGCCCAAAGGTGTTGGTTGGCCTGGTCTAGCGGGCAAATCATGCCATGGACCCAGGTCCAAAACAACGCAATTTTGTGCGTATGAAATAACGGTGTTATTAGTGGTATCGTTTTCTCAGCCAATGATATATATATATATATATATATATATATATATATATATATATATATATATATGTTGCATATAGGGTTCAAAAATTGTGAATATAAAGTTCTGTAATTGTGAATATTGAGTTATGTGATTTTGTATATTGAGATTTAAAATTGTAAATATAGAGTTCAGAAATTGTGAATATAAAATAATCAATTCTGAAGACAAACATCAAGTTTACGGTAAGAAGAGAAACAATTTTGTTGTTGTTGTTGTTTTTCTTTTTTAAATAAAAAATAAAAATTCAAATTGCTTTATTTTGAAGCAAAAACGATACAATTTATCCATGGCACAACAATTGGCAAATTAAGCTGTGGATCATCCTTACTGAATATGATAATTTGTGGGGCTAGACGCCTAGACTTGGAGCCATATGTAGGAAACTTGAATTCCACTTCAACATAACGCTTTAATCCGAAATATGCGTTTTGCAGAATCGCAAACATTCTTCCATGAAATTGCAACACTTACACTATTCATATTCATATTCTTCAATGGCTTCATCTTTTCCTAATTCCTAAATTCCGGCCTTGACCAATGTCAAATCCAAACTCCTCTTCTTTCGCCCTATCACAAAATTGATTTCTAATTTTGAAAAGTTCAATTCTCATTTGAAAAGTTGATTTTTAAGATAAAAATCAAATCCAGCCCGCCAAGCCCAGTCAACCCTGGCATGGTTAGAACGCAGAAATGTGAATCCACAAAGTGTTCGATAAGAATGTGTAGCGGCTTTTTGCCAGTATTCCTTAACGCGTTCAGGAAAGCCCGCAACCGAATACCTCTAGCCACTACGGCCGCAGTTGCCGCCGCAGCCGCCATAACCGTCGGCCCCGAAATCTCCGCCATGGATTCCGAACAGACTCTCAGGACCAATGTCTGCATCATTGGGAGTGGCCCCGCCGCGCACACTGCTGCAATCTATGCCGCTAGAGCGGAGCTTAAGCCGATTCTCTTCGAAGGCTGGATGGCGAACGATATCGCTCCCGGTGGCCAGCTCACTACCACCTCGGAGGTGGAGAACTTCCCCGGTTTCCCTCAAGGTATAGGCGGCGGCGAGCTGATGGACCAATGTCGCGCGCAGTCTGTACGATTTGGGACGAAGATCTTCACGGAGACCGTCTCCAAGGTCGATTTCTCCGCCAGTCCTTTCAAGGTGTTCTCCGATGAGAGAACCGTTATAGCCGACGCCGTGATCGTCGCTACCGGCGCCGTCGCCAAACGCCTCGAGTTCCCCGGCTCTGGCTCCGGCCAAAACGGCTTCTGGAACCGCGGAATATCCGCGTGCGCCGTCTGCGACGGCGCTGCACCTATATTCCGCAACAAGCCTCTCGCCGTGATCGGAGGCGGCGATTCCGCCATGGAGGAAGCCACTTTTTTAACCAAATACGGCTCAAAGGTTTACATAATTCACCGGAGAGATGAGTTTAGAGCTTCTAAGATTATGCAGAATAGGGCTTTGACTAACCCTAAAATTGAAGTCCTCTGGAACTCCACGGTGGTAGAGGCTTATGGAGAGAGGATACTGGGAGGACTAAAACTCAAGAATTTGGTTACCGGCCAGGTCTCAGATCTTCAGGTTTCCGGTCTCTTTTTTGCCATTGGCCATGAACCTGCCACCAAGTTCCTGGACGGGCAATTGGAATTGGATTCCGACGGGTATGTAGTGACTAAGCCTGGAACTACTCTAACCAGTGTTAAAGGTGTTTTTGCTGCTGGTGATGTTCAGGATAAGAAGTATAGGCAGGCTATCACTGCTGCTGGCTCAGGTTAGTGTTAATTGTGTTTGCTACTAATTTCATTAACTTTTAATTGATACATCTTCTGATCTCTTGAATATGGTTTTATAAGGTTGTAGCTTTGGTTAGTGTTTATATGATGAGTGTTGAATGCCATTATAGAAGCTTTGTGATTCCTTGAAGTTGTGTTAGTTGGAGCTTTTGTTTTGGTTTAGCATAGTCAATAGGAAAAAGCACTATGAAACCGTAGAATACTAAGTTATGTGCTGCTCATGTCTTTATGGATTGTTCATTATTGTGTTAGCTAGAGCCAGAGCTTTTGTTTTTGTTAGCATAATCAATAGGAAAAAGCACAATGAAACCGTGGATTCGTTGAATACCAAGTTATGTGCTGCTCGTACCTTTATGGATTGTTAGGTCTAATTTCTATTGACTCTGTTGATGATGAAGAATGGTGGAGTAGTAAAATATTTCATAAGATCTTAAATCTTTTGAAACGTTCTACTTCTCTTCGTTAATGGCCTCTCTTCACTTGGTTAAGAGAGGCTAAGTTTTTTAAGGCCTGCTTTCTGTTGTTTACTTCAACCAAAATGTTTTTGAAAAATATTTTACAAGAAAATGTTAGTTCTCCGATATCTAGACCACTTCTACACAAAGTGAACATGGCATTAGAAGTGTAAAATGTTTAGTGGAAGAAAATAACTTATCTTCTCCAAAATACCTCTCTTCAACCTCTCCAGCCCAACCCTTCATTTGCCTGTAGCATCTCCCATCCAACCGAACCCTTATTCTGCATGCAACTGCTGTCCCACCGGCGACTCATTTTTGTTGGCTATAGCCTAGTTTAGGGGGTTCCGATTTTAACTGAAGGACACTTTGTTCGTTTAATAAAATTTACATGTTTTCCACTCTCAGTTTACAAAATGGTACTACCTCCGTCCCATTTTGTTTGTCTGGTTCGGTTAACGAGGCTTGACTGAAGCTATTTTTACTTCAATTTTTCATAATATTAAATTTATTTTTAGTATATAAAATTTATATATTTAGAAACTACATTAAAAGTACTATTAAACATAAAAAATCAAATTTAAAAATAATTAAAAATTACTAAAGAAAATAATCAATGAAGAAAGAGTTGGATTGACCAATGAATAGTAAACATGACAGGCAAAATGGGACAGAGGGAGTAGTAATCATTGGAATTCCTTTTATGTATAAAACGTTTTCCAAGTAGATCATTTTACTCTGCTTTTTTCTTTTTTCTTTTTTGAAATACACCGTGAATAGCCTGTAAATGAAGCACATGAATATTATACTGATCTGGCCAAACTTCATTGAATTGGTTTCTAGTTCCAATTGGTGCATCATTGAGATGTGGAATCTATAGAATATTGATAAATTGCAACACAGTATGTATTCTTTTGGTGAATTTTAAGTGCCTCCCATATAAAAATAGAGAAGGAAGAAAATATTGACTTGTAATGCATTTTAAACTTTTCTTGACTCGGAAGAAAATTGGTTCTTTGCTTTGAGTTATGCCATTTCATTTTATGGATTCCCCAAGGAATATGACCTTCCACGAAACTCTTGCTTCTGGATTTATAAGTCGTGATCCTGACTATCAAACTTCCTTTTCTTCTAATATCTATGCATCTTTGTAATGTTGCCCAACTTTTTTTTTTTGCCATGTAGGATGCATGGCGGCCTTAGATGCAGAACATTACTTGCAAGAAATTGGTGCCCAAGAGGATAAGAGTGATTAGTTGCCAAGAAGATTCTTATACAGAAGCAGCATTGAATTATTATCGCAAAGGAATCATCATTTATACTTAAAACTCTCTATTTGCTGCTATTTGTTCATTGGAATAGAGAAATTGTTGATTGCCTATTGGGGATTCTATTTCTGAGTTTAATCCTTTGTATGAAGTTAATTGAAGGGTAGCTTCTGCAACACTCCATGAACACTTCTTAATCATGCTAAGAAGTATCTGTGTTTCCTGTTATCATCTATGAAGTATTTCTCTGTGTTTCCTGTTCAGTAATTTAGAATTTGATGTTTTATGTTTATGCTACCAGGGCCATTTATTTTCACCATCTAATGTGGCAGTATATAATTTATATTTGATTAATAAATAGATTTCTTTTAGATTTCTTTTTTAATGTGTGGTGGGGTTAACCAATTTATGGTAACCAATACATGTTACTTGATATATATAAGGGATAAAGTGTAAATAATAATACAATTTCATGTTGCAAGATACCCTTATAATTAATTGGTTCCAATTTGAGAAACCCTTGCACTGCCCAATTACAAAGTACAAACTAACAAACAAATATAAATTACGGAAATACTAAGAAAAGATGACAATGTGAACTAGGCCAACATAGACTGCCCCCGCTTCCTGCTTATCACATATCTCGGAGGGATTTTTTTCCTCAACTAAGAAAAGAAGCATCATTCCACTCTCACATGGCTTCAAGAAAATGATACAACAGACCCAGCAATTCAACAGATGACCACTTCCCTTTCCTTTCCCCTTCTATTTTCTTCAACTATATGCACACTTTTTCCTAGATTTTCTGATGGTGGAGAAATTTATTCAATTCCCCACATTCATCTGACATTATTGGGATTCTTTGGTTTTTACAGATTGATGGAAACTATGTATAGGTAGAGAGAGAGAGAGTTGTGTACGTACGACGTGGTTAGGAGGGTAGCTTAGTGATGTCTTTGCTGGATCGATTGTATTTCATGTGGCTGCTCACAAGCTGACCTGCTGAAATTGCAGACATGAGAGATAACTCCCCAGCAAGAACTGCACCTGCCACAACTGTTGCCAGCAGCCTGGCATTTGAGCCTGGGGACTCCCTGTTGGCACCCTTCACTCCCAGCAAGTTCAAGCAGGCTGACTGTGATGCAAGCTGAGTCCCACCTCCAATTGTTCCCACCTGAATGAATCACCATGATATATATATATATATATAGTTAATAAAGGAGTTGATGAACACTGCACCAATTTTCTCTAACCCTAAACTCCTAAATATTGTTTAAAGTTACTAGCTAGAGATTGAAATGCATACCTCAATGGAAGGCATGGTTACAGAAATGTGCAAGTCCTTGCCATCATTAACAGGCTCCATCATTGTGATACAGTGAGAGCTTTCCACGTTCTGGGCTGGGTCCTGGCCAGTGGCTATGTATACAGCAGACACAATATTGCTTGCATGAGCATTGAAGCCGCCTAGGGCACCGGCCATGGCGGAGCCAGTCAGGTTTTTAAGCACGTTCAGCTCAACAAGGGAAGCGACGTTGGTCTTTAACACTTTCCTCACCACCTCTTCCTTGATAATTGCTTCACAAACAACTGACTTTCCTCTCCCCTCAATCCAGTTCACTGCAGCTGGCTTCTTGTCAGAGCAATAGTTCCCTGTTCACATGTATTTATTTCTTCAAACCAACATACATGGCAACACATCATGCCCATCACATATATATACACACACATAGAGCAAAAAACATATATTGGAAAAGTGGCATATTTATCCACAAAAGGCGAAATTTCCTCGCCTCAAAACCCCACACCAACAGGATAGTGAAAGGTAAATCACAATAACTCAATGGTCCCATTAAGTGGGAGGACCAATGTTTGGTGCTCACAAGGAGCCCACCACATTACAGTTGCTAAAGCCCAATTCTGTGTCCTTGCTCACAAAAGAACCAAATAAACGGCTTGTGTGGGCTAAAACATGACATTTGTTTGTTGAGTTATATCCTGGTATAGAGTTGGTCTCTCTCAGTTATTTTCATGGTTACAATTTTGGTCATTTTCATTAATATTCTGTTACGTTTAGTTAGGGCCTAGGGGGGGAAAAAAAAACTTAAATGACAAGGGTGAACTTGAAAATTTGAATTTCTTTTCGAGCTCGTATATAAAATTTCAATATTTACTCTTACCATTTAAATTTTTGTCTAAATCTAATGAAATATTAACAAAAATGACCACAATTGCCACTTTAGGAATGACGGAGGGACAAAAATAAACACAACAATAGAGACGAGTATAATTCAACTGTCAACCATTTTTTCCTAAAATATAATCATGATTGAATTCACAAGTTTTGCAGCACTTTCAGGCGGTTTACCTGTTATGCCAAGGACATCCATGTCAGGATATTCAGTCTGAAGGAAATCAAGAACATTTTGCACCCCTTTTGACACCATGTTCATCCCCATGGCATCACCAGTGCTGCAACTAAACCTCATGTAGAGATTTTTCCCAGCTATTGTACATTGGATACTTTGTAATCTAGCAAATCTACTTGATCTGCACAAACCAAATATGACTATTAATATTACTCCCTATGAATATATTTTTAAAAAATTAGAAGGAATTGAATAATAGCACATCTGGAGATATCAACATCAAATTGTTAGTCAAAAACATGTGCAAAATGAAAAATGGGAAGAAACTGTTGATAAATCAAGAAAAATGAGGAAAACAAAACCAAGAATTTGTGTAGTTATTATATTTCCTTTTCAGTAATCTCTCACCAACCATTTTCCAGCAAAAATATAGTTGGAGTCTTAAATGCAAAAATATCATAGTACTAGGGAAAAAGATGTGTTTGGTCCTTCATCCTTCAACTTCAATTATATGAGTACAATAGACTTAATCTTTCAATTATAGGCGTCTCTCATTTTCGTTCTTCAATTATTAGTATAGTGATGTTTTCTCTCTCAGTGGAACTTTTCAGTTTTGAGTAACAATAATTAATGACTAATCTCAATCTCAAAATCTAATTTCTCATAACTAAACTTGTCAATTCAATTAAATGACTAATTTCCGTCTTAAAACCTAATTTCTCATGACTAAACTTGTAAATTCAACTCAATCTTCTCATTCCCTCACTTATTTCCCTTCTACGTCTATTGGAGGGAAATATGGAAGAGAAAGTGACAACTAAGATAAATTTAGAATTGAGAAATAATGTTTTGAGATAGAAATTAGTAGTCTCTAGCTACAAAACACTACTAGCTAATAATTGAATGACCAAATTTGGGAAAGAAAAACTTTGATTTTAAAGTTCTAGCCGACAAGGAGCTAAAGCAGTCTAAGTTGCTAATCAAAATTAAAAGTCACTATAATTAAAGACTTCAGTTTAGGACCAAAAGAATTGTTTTCCCATAGTAGGCTGTCCACATCCTTTCAATTGAACCCCTTTTAAGATGATGTGGAAGGTAATGTGAATTTTTTTTATATTCTTTTTTGTTTCATTTTGTAAGTTTATGTCAAATAGGAATGTTAACGGGGCGGGGGACATACCCCCCATCCCCGCCCCCGACTTTCTTCCCATTCCCCATCCCCGCCGGGGAAGGAAAAACTCCCCCATTTCCATCCCCATGGGGATCATTCGGGGACGGGAAGTCGGGAATCCCCACCCCGTTAATAAGTTATAAAAAAAATAAAAATTAAACATTAAAAAACATTTAAATAAATAACGCGTATATATTCATCTCCAACTCAAAGTAGTATTCCATATTATACAATTAAACATGTTATTTAAATATGGACTTCATAAGCATAACATACAATGACAAAATGCTTCTAAAATTATATATATATATATTGTATACAAAGTACTACATATGTTTGTGATGTGTGGCTATATATATATATATATATATATATATATCGGGGACGGGGCGGGGAGAGTACTCCCCATCCCCACCTCCGAGGGGTCCGGGTACAATTGACATCTCTACCTCAAAAGGTAGATGGCAACCTTTTGACTTTTATTATTACTTTATTAATATATTTATTTATAATATAAAATGAAAGTGCCTTCACTTTAAAAAATGAGGAAGTATTGCAAGAATGTAGGGAAAATAGTGAAAATTTTATAAATTTGATGATGTGAAAATGACTTTTGAAAGTGAAAGAGTATTATAGGGATAAGAATAGTGTTTTATGATTTCTAAAAGGAAAAGGACAATAAATCAATGATAATAAAGAATATTAAGTAACAAAAGAAAAGTGACAGACGGGTGTTACGTTGTAAAACTGTAAAGCTATACGTGAAATCTGGAAATTGCACTCACTTGTTAAACACAGCAGCAAGAGTGTCAAAATTACTGGGATCCTCAACGAAGAACTTCAACTCAGCGGCTCTCTTGGCACTGCCGAACCTCACCACTGGAGCTCTGGTCATGCCGTCTCTGAGCACCATACTGGCGGCTCCACCGGAGGCGTAGATGGCCTTACACCCCCGGTTGGTGCTAGCCACCAAGCACCCTTCAGTGGTCGCCATTGGCACAGAGTACTCTCTCCCGTCAAGCAACAATGGTCCTGCAATTCCCACTGGTATTTGCACGTACCCAACTGGCATCTCACAACACTGCCCAAGAATCGACTCGTAATTGAATCCTTCCATCGGAAGCCCCGCCAGAGACTTCCCCGTGATTCTCTGCAATGCCTCGCGACGAATTGCAGCCGCACGTTTACAGTCTCCGAGCTTGGCTTCCAACGCATACGATGGGATTTTCCCCTCCACGACGGATTTGAT